GACTTTGCTTAACTGGACGAAATGAGCAACTTATGGGCTCTGAGTGAAATGTAGGTCTCGGGTATAAATGGAAGTGATTTTCGTTTTCAGCACGCAAAAAGCTGTTAGGATCAACGTCAAACTCGATTCAAAAATTTTGGTCCAAATTTGGTCAAAATTAGGTAAAGCGTGAGTCTGGGAAAAATTTGGAAGTCATTTTTGAGTTCAGCACACCAAAAACTGCAGGAAACAATATAAAACTCGACTTGAAGATTTTGGTCCAAAATGACCTAATTTGGGATGAAAATATAAGTCTGGAGTCGAAATGGAAGTGATTTTCGTTATCAGGACACAAAAAACTACTGAGATCAACATCAAACTCAATTCAAAAATTTTGGTCCAAATTTGGTCAAAATTGGGTAAAGCGCGAGTCTGGGAAAAATTTGGAAGTCATTTTTGAGTTCAGCACACCAGAAACTGCAGGAAACAATATAAAACTCGACTTGAAAATTTTGGTCCAAAATGACCTAATTTGGGATGAAAATATAAGTCTGGAGCCGAAATGGAAGTGATTTTCGTTATCAGGACACAAAAAACTACTGAGATCAACATCAAACTCAACTCAAAAATTTTGGTCAAAATTTGGTCAAAATTAGGTAAAGTGTGAATCTGGGAAAAATTTGGAAGTCATTTTTGAGTTCAGCACACCCAAGACTGCAGGAAACAATATAAAACTCGACCTGAAAAGTTTGGTCAAAAATGAGCTAATTTGAGATGAAACTATAAGTCTGGAGTAGAAATGAAAGTGATTTTCATGATTGGCACTCCAAAAACTGCAAGAATTAATGTGAGATTCAATTGAAAAATATTGATATTGAATTGATTAATAACGGATAGAGTATGGGTCTGGGTTCATGGATCACCCCATGTCGTCACCCTAATGCGAAACCAATGCGATTCCTCAGTCGAGTAACATTCCATTGAATCGCTTAATTGGCTAATCGTCTGCTTGAGTCACTACTCGATATATCTGTTTCTTCAAACTAATGAATTTACAAATTTATTAGTTATATTTGAGTAGCCTTTTGTCATTCTTTCATTTTAAACCAGTGAATTAAACAATATAGACTGGAATATGTAATCATAGGTTTTATTAAGTGAATCAGTTTAGGGCAGGCTGATCTGAAGCATAAGACGGAGATCAAGTTTTGTCAAATTCAGTGAATTGTCTCATGAAGTCCAATGCAGAGGCCACTTTTTGCTCAATACGCCATTATCTTATTCATGTCTTGTGGTAGTTTATCTTTGGAGTAAAAGATGACAGTACAGGATTAACATTAGGCATTGGGCTTTTGTTCGGAGAGCCACATTTAAACTATTACCAATACTAAGTTCCAGTTATCGGACACAAACTTTGGTGAAGTGAAAAGAATCGTCTCATTAAATCCAATTACCAAGTCACTCACCGCTCACAATCTGAATCGTCTCATTGAATCCAATATCAATTCAAAATTTATTAGCATTAAAAATACACATCCATATGTGGATTCTTTTAATCAATAGATGCTAGTACAAGAATATTTATGTTAGGTTGCAGCATTAAAATAGGATGTCATTTCCCGAGTCAAACAAAGACATGTAACTTGTCTTCTAATTTCAACAGAAGTTATTCATGCATTTACCTAATTTGATTTTCTATGAAATTTAAAAATAAATTTAAAAATAAGGATGGTATCAGAGAAAATAAAATCAGTAGATACACACAAAGTAACAGGCAAAGAAAACATTCTATTTTCAGTCCACAACTACACTCACAGTGCACTGACCTGCAGGAAGATTCCCCTGTGACGAGGGAGGGGGGAGAGGGGCACGAAACACGCAAACCATTCTCACTTTCAGTTTTCGTATTTTCCTCTGTTGACACTCCGGAAGGGTTTTAATCATTCTAGAATGTTAAAAAACTAACTCAGAACCTATTTGAGAGCCCCTTTGCTCTTCAGTTTGTTTATTTGCATAAGTACCGTCCTGTCTTGCAGACGGCTTGGAAGCGCGGCAGCCGGTATGAGAAATTGGTAAGCCACACACTGCTACCAACCAAACAACGCTAATAACCTAGTTCAAAACGATGTTTTGAATATTTCAAACGATGATAATTGTTGATCTAAGATAAACTCCCCCTGTGGGACACTTTGGAGATGTTCAATACGAAATTTGGGAACAATTGGTGTTGTAGTTGCTGAAAAACGTGAGCGTGTACGCTACAGACTCACAGACGGACAGACAGACTCACGACCAGTCACTTTTTGGTGCGCCCAAACACGGCATGGGCTTCGCTATCGCTCAGCCAATAACCAGAAAATATTGAACGACCTGTTCCCCAGTATTTTTCCTAGGACATGAAGTCGTTGATGGACGTGCCAAAAAAGGTATTGTAGATTCCGACTGAGGCGCAACAACATCAAAAGTCAATATTGTCGTTGCTGCCATCTTGCCATACACGGCCACTTTTCTCAGAATCATCCCTTCGTTTGGTAAAAACTTTCGCGATAATTTGCGTTCTCCCTTGACACAATTTGATGGTCAAGTATTTCATTTGAGGCAACAAGGGGACCTCCTCTAAAACCATGCATGAGGGAAGGCCGGCTACTTTGACCTCTTTTCAAACAACTGATCAGTTAAAAGATCAGCCAAACACATCGTACTTGACCCTGGGTAACTTACCAGTGCAGTGTAGTCTGCCAGCGACACCGGTCGTTCACGTCGTAATCCAATTGAACAATCACAAAAAATGGAACACGGTCGTCGTGTTCAGTTTGACACCTGTGCTGGCGTCACCCTCACTGCACACACAGTTGGCGAAATACTTTTCGGGGCGGGCACAACGTCGGTCGATGACTTGGTTTTGACAAATGGCAGGGTGCGGGGAATCGCGCAATCCACACGCGCGCGCACACACACACACTCGCACCGACACTCGTAATGGTAATCCAATCCTCGCTTGACGGGAGGCAGGTGAAGCCACGCAAGAAAGCGGTCGGTCGTTTGACGGAAGGGTGTGCAGATGAAATACAGCCGGGAGACACCGCAAACTGCCAAACGCGTCAAACAGGGGAGAGGTGAAAAACTTTGCTGACTCCAAGTGCCACTTGAACGGCAACGGTTCGACGAGTTTTCCGTTGACAAGAGCTGTGGGCAATAGGTGTCCGTCGCCCGTCGCACACAAGTCTTGCGCTTATTGAGATTCACTGCCCGAGTCACGGGGTGAGTCACTTCGTCACTAAACACACAACCGAGTGCAACGTAACACACATCTCTGGGGCCACTGGATTCACTGATAACAAAGGGGCACACAGCACTGTCGGAACACGCGTCGGGGCTGCCGGTCGTTCGTTCGCAGTTCGGAACCACGCGGAGCTCCGCTAGCGCGCGCGAACCCGATGATGCGGCCGCGAGGCAAAACGGGCAGCGCGGCGAGCGCGGCGCGGAGTCGAGTCGAGCGGCTGAAGCGGCGAGGCGCGACTGCGAGGGGACCAGCTCCTCTAGTACTTACGGCCCTCTCTGCTCCGCCGTACTCCGCCGCGGCTCCACGGCTCCGCCTCGGCCCAGCGCGAACCGCGCGGCGCGGCGGCACGCGGACAGGCCGGGCGGGCCGCGGGCCGCGGGCCCCGCGTGGCCGCATGGCGCATGGCGTCTGCACGGCCAACTACAGCAAACTCATTCTTGGGCTTAGCTCGCCGCTACCGGTATTGCTGGTGGGGAAACGACCACGTGGCCGTACATTCATTGGATTTTGATTCGCAACACGGCCATTGTTTGAGCGGACGTTGTTGGTCTGTAAAGTTAAGGGCGCGCGCCCGAGCGGCGCCGCGCCGAAGCGCCCGAGCGCCGCCCGCGGAACGAAAACATCTCCAAAGTGCACTAAAATATATATTTTTGGAAAGGGGATGGTTCAGGGAATCCAACTATTGACCCACTTTTTGATTTTGAGCATTCACGTTCGAGTTCATTGCATGTTTTCGTTCCGCGGGCGGCGCTCGGGCGCTTCGGCGCGGCGCCGCTCGGGCGCGCGCCCTTAACTTTACAGACCATGTGCACGACTGGCGTGTTCACCAAGCACAGCCAGCTCATCACGGTAATGGAAACGTGCTCGACATGTGATGTCTGCATCAGGGTTGCTGCGTTTTGGCTCTTTGAGGTTGCGGTCAGCCTTCTTACTGTATGTATGTTGTCAGGGTGGCTTAAAAACATTCACAATGCATAAACATATGTATATATATTTCTTGTTTTAAAAAATACAACATTACAAAAGCTTTCTTCTGAAAAATAAATATGCTGAAAGTTTAGGGTGGAGTTATAATCTGAAAGCAGAATTTGGTATGAGGTAACTTACTTCAGTAACAAGTAGTGCAAAATTACGAGGAAAAGTAAAACCACTTCCTCTCAGAATTTACACAAAGATAAGTCTTAAACACAAAATCAGAAAAAAAAATCTTTATCACAATTTTTTTAATTTATTGAACTAGTTAGTGTATTGAAAACTAGCTTGAGCGCGACGCAAAAAAAAATTGCAGTCTTGGCCATAAGAGAAGAAAAACAAATATGAATAAAAAATAACACATAGAAAAATGCCTGCCATGTCTTACAAAGGCATAAATTGTTTAAGGTATAAAATAACTTTATATTAAGGGTTCTGTTAAAGGATCCGAGTGTGGTTTGCCAGCTGAGGTCATAGCGAGCCGTAACTTGCAAACTGCTCGGATCCTTGACTACCCTTTATGAACAGGGCAACAGGGCCGCAGATCACGCGGGCCGAATACCGGAGGAGAAACTAGTGCAAACAAAACAATTTTGCTTCTTGAGCGCTTTCATTCAGTGGTTGAGTCGGTCACTCGGCTCGAGTAAAATATTAATTGCCCCCTCCCGAATCCGATCTGTAGCCCTGTTCAACTATCAGCAGCTTACTATCTTACTACCTTTTAAAACATCGTCCATACCTGCAGATTAGAGATAAAAGAAACAACTGCTAAAGACATAATTTATTTAATTGTGGGGGTTCCCATCCAAATTTCTTTTATCGTATAATCACAGATTGATGAAGCAATGACTAACTAATATGCAAATAAGGAAAACTAAAATTTTCCCAGAACAGAGACAAAAAAATATTGGACAAATTTGCTCTCCTCTGAGAAATAAAGAAACCAAAATAATGATTATATCTTAAACAAATAAGATGCAAGAATGAGTTTGAGCTGTTGCTCTTGTGAAGTGCTGGCAAGAATTTACTTCTTTTTCTTCAACTCCTCAAAACGCCGCGTTAAATCATCAAAGTCAATATCGTCAGCGCCAGGACGTCCATCCACTTCATCGGGAGGGAAGCTGTTGGTGGGGACTGAAGGGAGGTCAGGCAGATGAAAGTTGAGGCCGCTGCTTCGTGTGTTGCGTAAATCATCCCCGGGGGATAGTTTTGATCTTGGTGCAGGCTTCGGCTGGTCAGAACTCTATAACAAGGTAAAAGACGATATCAATGGTATTGACGTTAAAGTTCAACGAGATTTACTCTTTTCTTCACCATCCTTCATATTAAGAATGTTCATAAAGTGCACTTGGTTCTTGGGAGAATGGAGGAAGAGGAAGGGATGTTGCCAGCAACAATGTCTGGGTCTAGGGGAAGGAAAATCCGTCCATATAGTCCCCCGAGTCCCCCTCCCTCAGATCGCTTGCGACCCCTTCCCCAGGCATTGTTGTCGCGTCAATATATGCGTTCGATGCTCAACAGCAACGCGACCGAGCTCGAGAGCTGGAACCGACGCTGACACAATATTTAGCATTACCATACGATTGGCGCCTACTCGCGCAATTGAAGCATTTGGACTAAGTTGACCAAAAATTGGTCTGTTGGTTTGGGATGTGATCAACGACTATAATGCGATAGGTGGAGATAGACTCTATCCGATAGAGATCGAAGACTCCAGGCTGCTGGATAGACCGCAGGATGGGGGATAGAGTTTAAGCCCCCCTCCCTTTTCCGCCTGGGAGGTAGACCACCCGCAACCTTACCTAACCTCACCTTACCCGACCTTGCATCGATCTCGATCCTTGCAAGGAGATAAAGATCAATGTCTCCAGGCTGAGGAATGGAGACCAAAGCCCCCGGGCTGAGGTAGAAGCCAAGCCTCGGGGTTAACTAAATTTAAATTTTAAAGAAACTGGTCGCCATGTAAAACAAACATTGTACGGGATTACTGTATCGGAACATTTCATTAAAGCATGCTGCACAAAGCTGTTCAACCATTCACAAGCACACACCTACACCAAATCGGAAGTAACGCACACCCACGTTAACAGAGGCTGTGAACAAAAGCGTGTTGATGTGGAAGATAATGCGTCAGGCGCACCAACAATAAGAACGAGGGGGGGGGGCTACTTTAAAAACAACCTTTTAAAAATAAGCAACATTACCTCTAATAAGAAAAAAAATCTGTCATAGTGTATCCAACACTATGCAAATGTAAGTACCTGCTTCTTTAAGTTGACATCAGGAGGGAACAGGCTGTGAAAAGATGGAGGAGGAGAATCCTGGAAACATGCATACTATAAAAATATTTCTACACTAAATAATTTAAATTTGCTCAAGCATGCAGGCACAAAAGTGTTCCCTGAGAAAACAGAACTCAAGAAACAAAGAGAAGGAAAAACAAGGGGACCACAAAGTAATAATGAGCATCACTAAAAAATTGTGTATAATCTGTCAATGATTTAAAACTCAAAATAAACACCCAGACAGCATGATATGAGGCCATGGGTTTAGGGAAAATATGGTAAAAGCGCAACTGCTTTTATTTTGATTTCAGTTGTGTAACATTAGCGTGTTTACCTTTACAGACTCTTCGATGTTAAGAAACTAAAAAGATAAATTTTCTACCACCAAGCAGAGAAAAGACTTAAGAAGGAAGGGTGCCCTCACCAAATTTGTTTCAAAATAAAAAAGAAAAAAATTATGTGCTGCTCTTGTTTCCTTCTATCTGTATGAATTTCTAAAAGGCATAATAAGTAATAACAACTTAAAAAGCTGACTACTTAGTCTATGCAACTTCAAAACAAACGGCATATTATGTGGCCAAAATCGAAGACTCATGCAAAGCACTAACAGCAGTTCAGTCTTTCTCACCTGCATATTATTGGCATTGCTACTGCTATCACCACCTGGTGGGATGTTGTATGACATAGAGGCAGGATTTTTGTTGAATGGTGCTGACATATTATCATCAAAAGGAACAGATCCACCTCCAATAGCTCCAGCAGAATGAGCCCCTGCTGGTCCCTGCTGCGGCAAGGGAGGAGGGACTACAAAACCCCCGGCAGGTCCAGCAGAAGGCTTTGGAGGCTGCAAAAAATGTACATTTACATAAATCAACAATCAATACTATTCTTCCTGTAAGGTGAAACAAAAGATGTTTCACAACTGATATTATTTTTTATCGTAGTTTAACTTATGTTGTCTTTATTAACTCACAGGGTAGTTGAAAGGCTGGAAATCTGAAGATGATGGAAGCATTGGTGGTTGAGGGAAACCCACAAATCCTGCAGGCTGAGGAAGACCACCACCACCACTCCCACCATTACCATTACCACCTAAATTGTTCCTGTCTTGATCCAAATCCAACAAGAGGACATCATCTGCATTCTGTGGTTCATCTTCTCTCATAACCTGAAACAATTGCAGCATGAGTATGATGTTTCATACATTGTCAATACCAATGACATTTCCAAAGTTACCTGAGGGTCTGGAGTGAATTCAATGTTATAATTTTTGGCAATTTCAATGAGGTACTTTTCAACCAACAGTTTAGGTGGAGCTTGCACACTCATTTTGTGCTTTAACTTTTCAGAAACTGTCCCAATAGCATCCTCCCGGCATGCCTATGTGGATAACACAATAAATCATTTTAGTGGCAGATATGCATTACACAACTTTAATGATACAACACTTTGCTTAGGACACCTTCATGAAGATTTACTTACATCTACATACTGCCGGCCATACTTTGCAGTCATTTGATCTGTAATAACCGACATTTCTTGAATATCAGCTTGGATTCGAGGCGCCACCCACAAGATGCTTGATATAGCTTCAGCAAGACCTTCGTCTAGGGTTCTGCAAAATTCACATAGTAAAATTTAATCCATATTTCATTTAAGAGCAGTATTGAGCAACACAAACAAGTGTAGGGTCAGGTCGGGAAAGAACCCAACACTTCAGGGGTGGGGAAAAATTGGACACCCTATTTTAGACTGGATTTCCTAATTTTGAGACTACCTAATACCGCTACACGTTAGTGTAGGGTTCCAATAATCAGGAGAGAGTATTTACGAAAATCAGAATGTAACAGACCAGTGTGCGATTTTCCACCGCCCCTGCAGTGTTCGATTCTTCCCTGCCCTGACCCTACTTCAACAAAAGCACAAACATGATAGAATTTGAGTTGCTATGAAACAGAATATTAAGTAAACAGCCAGCGCACTTACTTCATTTGTTGTAAGAGTCCAAACCGTGCGAGAAGAAGATCACAGTACATTTCAACAACTTCAAACGCTTCAACGATGTAGTCTTCTCGAATGATATGCTCCACCCTGATTCGGGCACGTTCAACTTTATCAGCAGCCAGGTAGTCTGCGATTTCTTTTCTCGCTTTTTGGGCCAATTCTGTTTTCTTCTTTTCCAGCAATTTCAATCTGTTAATTGCTAACCTCAAATGGGTTTTGAGCTTAGTGTAGTTTGGACCGCTTGAAAACATTTTAGACTAGGTTAAAGGTGCCACGAAATGAAAATTAACTTTGGCAAATAACAAATCAAACACGAGTTGCTCCTGTCAACTCTGAATAAACATTACACAACCTAAGTCGCAGGGACAAACAATACAATGTCAAAATATGATTCACTGACGAGTCACGGCCAGGTAGAGGTGAGTGTGTGGAGTAGGGAGGGGGGGGGAGGGCGCACGCTATTCGCAGTTCGCAGGGAGGGGAGGGCGGGGTGGCGAGGGGGAAGTTTGTTTTTGTTTACCTCAGCACCGCGCTGTTTGCAGGAATCGCCAGGTGCCAGCTCTAGAAAAAGGGGCGTTTCCTATGAGGGCATAGGGCCTGGTTATTGGAAATTACTTGTAAATTTTCAGTCCAAAAAAAATGTTGTGTTGAAGGTGGCTGAGCTCCTAGGGCAGCGCATGCTTGCAACTTGAAAGAGGACACCCATGGGGGCAGGGGCACCGGCTGTGGCGGTGGCAGCAGCGCGCGCTAAGCTGACACGGCTTATGTAGAGTCCAATTCCGATTTTGCTGTCTTGTGTCTTTCCACTTGCCACTTCCGCAAGGGAACTGGCGCAATGAAGTAAATTTGTGAATGAAAGGAGCGTGCGCAACGTAACATTTCGTTGTTCCATGTAATGATGGTGGCCTACCACACAGGCGTTACCCTGCTGCGCTGCATGTAATGATGGTGGCCTACCACACAGGCGTTACCCTGCTGCTTCTAATGGCTGTGAGGAATTGGTGGAAGTGACGACCTTCGTGGATCAGTTTTGAGTCCGTTTGGCATTCCACTGACGTCGGTGCGATCCATTCTTTCCCTCCTTTCCCCACGGAGTTTACTAACACTCATCAAGAGCATGTGACCGCCGTGAAGGTAGGCAACACGTATAACAACCCTTCTAAACAGGCTATTGATTCATGCCCGCAATGCGGCCTTTTTTTGGACATATCCAAGTCATTCATTTTGAGTTATTGTAGTAGATACCCACTTACATGAGGGTGGGGCCCCTAGGGGTCGGGGGCCCCCTCCTCCTAACACGGCGGTGCTGCATAACGCAACGTGCCCTCGGCAAAACTTGAAACTGTAATTTGGCGGTAGCATCCTTTTTCCATCACTTTCAACATTCTCAGACACATCTTCACAAGTAACGTCATGCAGAAGCGATCGTGACTCCCCATTCCCAGCTGGGACAGTGGTAATTAGTTCTTTAGAAAGTTGTGTTTTCCGAGTGTGCTAAGGGGGCGTCCATTAATTACGTTACGCACTCAAGGGAGGGGGTGTCTGGTTTGCGCAGCACTGCGTTACATGGGGGAACCGGGTGGGGGTGGGGGGGTCAAAAGTGCCAGAAATTGCAGAACGTAATTAATGGACGGCCCCTAAGCGAGCAAAGAGAGTAAGGGGGCAGCATCGCTTGCTCTTGGTGGAAAGGGTGGAAAGGCACGAGGTTGCCATGTTGCCATTCTTGCGGTGTGACGTAGTTTACGGACCGCCCCTCGGCCCGGGCTCGGGCGCTCGGTGGAAGGGTCGTTGGAGCCCGAGCAAAGCCCGAGCCGCCGCGCTGCCAAGCCGTGACGAGCCGAGCCAAACTATCCTACTGCAGGTCGTCGGTCGGTGGGTCCGCCAGTGTTGGATCGACACAAACTGCCTTTCCGTCCGCAGTCCGTAGTGTAGTTACGCTGGAAGGCACTGAAACTGAAACGTAAGTTGATAAGAATCTGTTTGACTGCTGTGGCCAACCCGTTCCTTTCGAAGTGAGCTGTCGTTACTAAAGTAACATTTAGTCGCACGCTTGCTGCAGATAGATGTGAAAGACTGGTAAAGTAGCGCCGCACTTACTTTTGCTCAGCGTTAGACGTTGCCAGTGAGGTTATACCCTAGATTCGACTGCCGTCGTCGCTGCCGTTTCGTGTAACCACTCCGTGTAGGGCTATCTGAAATTCAGCTTTGAGGTTATGGGACGGCCGAACACATTGTTGAAGGACCGAGACCGAGAGGTGATGTCTGGGGGGTCACGGCAACAATGTTGCTTCAGAAATCGTGTCGCATTGTTGCTATTTGTTGTGGGTCTAATTAACAAGAACCTTGCATAACGAAACCAAAAAATTGTAGGTCACATTATTTTATTGGAGCGAATGGAAAGAAAAGGTCAATTGGAGTAGTTTATTGTTTCAGCGGATCGGCGCCTCGTTTGATGCTGAGCCTACTGGAAATTGTCGGGGAGGGGGGGGGGCTTACCCCCTCGCCCAACCATGCATTTTGATGTTTGGTATTTGTTTAGTTTTCTCGGCTTGCTTAACTATCCTCATGCTGACAGCTGGCGAATCTTTTATTAGGCTGGGCTCGATTGCTTTACCATAGGCTCTCTACACTCATGCTGCCCCCACCCTTGATCGGGCACATAGGCAGGGGTTAGAATGGGGGGGGGGGGGGGGCATTATCGATATTCGGACACGCGTTTTCGGTCTGGTACCTAGAGTTTTGCCTACGGACATTGACCCCCCCCCCCCCAAAAAAAAAAAAAAAACAAAAAAAAAACACCCACACACATTTACTACCCCTGGTTGGCCGTGCGGTGCGATCCATGCCCTATCTCCTCTCCCGTTTTCCATGGTGGTGACGGGAACGCCAACAACCCGTTTTATTATTGAAATAAAGAAAAATTGTCCAGTTAGTAAAAGTTCTTATGAATCTATGTCAATAATTGACACTAATATTATGCCGATGCCTCAAATCAATAATTTTTCATTGATCCGATGTACTCGTTTTCTGGGATAAATGGTTGGCATATCGTTAAATTTTCTTTCTACTCCGCTTCTTCCGTTACTTTATTATCAAGTTTGATTGTTGTTTACGTGCGTAAAGCTACGTTTCTCACCCCTCAACCCAATATTGATCGGAGCCCAGGGGCCTGACCTGCCTAGAGAGCGCTAGAGAGACGCGACGAGTCTCTCTTCTGCAGGCTGACCGCAGTGGTGTGCGCAAAGAGAAGAGGGGGGGGGGCATGACCCCCCTCCCTTTTTTTCGGGCACTTTACAGCCGCCTGGGAGGAAGTAAGGCAAATTGCTATACATTCCGCCTGAAAGTCGGCAAAAGGCATGGCTTGACACCCCTCCCCCCTTTCAAAATTTCTGCACACGCTAGGGGCTAGGGTCAGCGACTTCGCCGTCCCAGTCTTGTTTTGCCTGCATTCAGGGGCACGTCCCACGTATTTACGTGGCCGATTTGGGGGAGAGGTGTGTGTGTGCGCGCGCGCATTTCTGGCCAGACTACGCCATATCTCAAATACACCTGCGGGTTTTAGTCAGGTCTCAGGGGAATTGGGGGGGGGGACATGGTCAGGGGGGGGGGGATGATTTTGTTGACCTGGCGATCTCGTTAATTTACTACCGCGATTTCTCATGCCACTTTGGGTTCAAAGTCGGAAAAGTCGCTGTTTGACCGAATGCTCATTCAAGTTCAGAACAGTGAAGTGGGTTGAGCGACTCACGGTGCTTCGGGAGGTTGCGCGTCGTTGTAGGCTTTTCAACGTCAAGTTACCGTGCTTACGGTTACCGGTCACCCCCTGGTTACCTCCAGATGTAGTTCCGACGAGTCGAGCCGCACGATGTCCTCGCGCCACCGCGTGAAGGCCATTTACACTTTTGACACGTTGCCTCCGACCATCAGTCCGCTTTGAAAATGGTTTTCTGTGCGTCATCACCCCTACTTATACATATCCGCTACGACTTTTCTTTAGTCCACGTGCTGGCCGATTTCAACCTACTGGCTCGTCGACTTGCGGGTCATAGTCGCGGGCTGAGGTATGCAGCCCGCGTGACACAACGCGTGACACCACATTGTTGTCTACCCCCACCCCCTTTTTGGCCCCCTCTTTTGGCCCCGGAATGTGGGTAGCGGTTTGAGTACTATGCGCGCCGCGACTGCTTCTGCCCGCGAAATGGTTTTATGGTCTTACGATGGTTGCTAGTTACGTAATGGGGGAGTGCGAAGCGGACTGCCTACGTAGATGAAATGCTGGGCTGTCTTTCAGGTGGGATGCCTGTCGGACGTGTCGGACTGCCAACTGGCCGGTGGGGTTTCCCAACTCTCGTGCTTTATTTTTTAGTACCCGGAAGCACAAAAAGGGGGCTGGCTTGCAATTTACACGCAGGACATAAAAGCTTTTGAAACGGGCCACTTCTGCTCGGGCCGAAATCTACTGTATAGCATTTGAAGGGGGAACGACTTGGGGAACGAACAACTAATGCTGTCTCGTGAATTAAGAGAAATGTAAAACCTGCATTTCAGACTTTGGTGAAAGTTGAACCTGAAAAATTTTCTCCCGCCTACCCCTATCCCCATCCCCTCCCTCTCCTTTTCACCGTGCCGTTGCTAGCTCAGCCAGTTCCGAGCGTACCCGACTGCCGCCGAAGAACTCCGAAGCGCTCCCAGAGTGCTCCGCGCATGCGCGCTGCCGGATCCGCCCTTTCCCCTCCCAGCTGCTTGCTTCATCCTCTGTTCTGTATCCAATCATCCCAATTCTGTCCAGGAGAATCCTCACGCCAGAGTCACGACATAAGGATACTCTCAAAAGTGGTCACTTGCGCACTTTGGTGTACAGTCTCCCGAGAAGTGGCGGGCGACTTCGGCACCCTGGGTTTTGCTTGTCTTTTTAAACTTGTTGAGATGTTGGATATGTGATTCCTTACTTCTTCTTGGATGGTGTGTTTTCATTTGTGAATAATCGTACAATTTAAAGGTGTGTACCGTAACTTCAACAGTGCGAGGATAAGTCCATTCAAGTCAATTTCTCTCTTTAATCTTAATCATTTGTTCATTTAATTTATTTACATCAGGGTGGTTGACTTTATGAGGGCAGCATTTCCTTTTCTTCTTCATCTCTATAGAAATGAAAGATTTACAACTAGAAGTGATAGCAGATGATCTTCGTCATATCGGGAGAGATATATTCTTTATATTTCCAACGCCATATTAGAATAACTGGATGTCATGAAATATGCAAAACAATGAATCCTGGACTTTCGTATATCACATAACCTCAAAATGTAGCAAGTATTTATTATCAAAACAGCAACTTTCCTCTTTTTCACTTTGCATTTTATGACAGGGGCTTGTAATTGCATTCCATTGTTTGTGGGATTCCTGAAACTATTAAGAGTAGTCTATTTCAAAACAATTTACAAAATTCATCTTATATTATATTTTTTGGATATGAGAATGTTTGCCCAGTCTTAGTATACACAAGAATCTCTTATTTTTATTGAAAATTATTGTTATGAAACTGCTTTTATGATTTTTCCCCTCTTGATCTGTTACAGATGACCTGCTTTCAATCACTGGACTTCAAAGTTTAACATGAAACTCTCTGAAGAGATGGATATGGACAATGGAAGTATTCCAGCTGATGCTATGAAGATTAAATCCCCTTCTCACCTTACATCTGACAATAGTCTCAAACCACATTTGCCTACCCAGAATGGTATCAAGCACCCAGCTGAAAATGTTTCCAATGGAAATACCTCTCTTGATAATAGCCCTGAAGCAACTTTGGATGAGAATGCCATTGGCTTTGAGGTAGAATCTTATAGTGACTTCAATACCTCTTTGTCACATGGTAGCTTTTCCCAGATCAAGGGTGACTCTGGCAGCGTTGAGTTGAATGGGAACAATCATTCTTCCAATGATGGTGACAATAGAGAAAATAGTAATAAAATTTTTAGTGACGAAAGTTGCACTGAGTCAACACACAATTCTTCTCATTTATCGGAAGAATTTCAGTTGAGATTGTCAGATGATGATAGTAATCAATTGGCAGAAGCTGTCAGTAGCTCAACTCCATTCCAATCAGTGGCCGATGTCACCAAAGATGAAGATGGAACCATTTTAGCAGGTAAATACTTTGTTTGCTCCTTTTATTATTATTTTTTTCACCCTTTATTTTTTGTCTATGGGGTCAATAGCTTCCATATTCCATCATTTAAAACTTGTGTGGGGTGGTCATTTATTTTAGAATAAGCCCAAACAAGCAGTTGAGGTGGTGTATGTTATCAAATTGAAAATCACAAATTTTTTTCCTTCCACATGGCACTAAATTGTTTTAATAAAGAGGCTTTCTGCCTTTTAACGTTAATCAAATCCACAAAGCAATTTCTGTTTCAAGTTTGCATTTCCTTTCTGATCATCAAACAAACTATTCAACAATAGCAACAAAAGACAGAAATAGTTCCATCTTGCATTGAATTATCTTTGGATTGCCAGGTTTTGGGGATTCATTCAGAAATTAAAAACGTGTTTGATATTTCATTTAAAATTTTGTGTGTACATAATACAGCAATGAAGCATGCATTCTTTGTGGTTTATGGAATACTTCCTTCCAAAAACTTATCAGTTTGATGGCTCAATCACAAGGTGTGGGGAGTGGAAATATTTGCGTGTGCCTTTTTGAAGCATGTTGGTGGGCTTTTAATGTTTATGGGGCTTAGTGACACTTTAGTGGAGACTACTCTCATCCTGACATTCTTATTCTAATCAAGCTTTACAAGATGTTTCACAAAGTTATGTTTTTTTTGTAAGTATGCAGTCTTGCAAAACATACCCTCATCATACCTGGCTTGTGAGTTGCTGTGTGTGCTGAGAATGCATACTTTCTTCAAAGTAATAAGGCTTGTGAACGTCCTGTTCGTTTACATTTTGGACACTTCCTCAGCTGCCTGTTAAAGTGATTGGGCATTAGTACTCGTGTACCTGAACAAATGAATACAGTTGTTCCTTTCTATTTTAAGATTTGTTCCTCTAAAAGGTTGATGAAAGTTTGAGCAAAAAATTAAGATAACAAATCTAACTTGTACACATGCTGCTTATCACCTTACTTCTGAATCATTTTCTGCTTTGTTCATTGAAAAGGATCCTATATTTAGTCTTAATTTCAGGTTCCAAATCAATTGAGAGTACCTCACTTGCTAGAGATCTTTTGGTCAAGAATGTCTCTCTTGACTTGAAGCCAAACAAAGATAATGAAGTTGATGTTCATCTATTTAAGTGTACAGGAGAGGAAAGTTTAGAAACACCTTGCAAAGACTCTCAGGGGGAACCAAAGGTGCAAGATAATAGTGAGGTCAAGAAAGTAAACACACCTAATTGTACAGGCCATGATGTGGCGAATGAAGAAGGAAGTCACTCTACAGATGTTGAAAGCCAAACTACTGATGTGCTTAAGGGAAGTGATGACTCAATGCCATCTTCTAGCCAGCCAGAAAACTGTACAAAAAAACTACTGTCTCTTGAAGATACCTTGGAAGCAGAGCTTGAAGCAGAACTTCAAGCAGAGATTGCTGCTGAAATGGAAAACAAGGATAAGATTGAAGCCAATCAGAAAAATGATAGTGTACATGGCATGTGCACTACAATACCCTCTGAAAGAGATTCAGATGTGAGTTGTCTCATCCAAGAAAAGACTGAAGTGACTGACACAAGGCTTATTAAATCTAATATATCCATTGATATTTTACAGGAGAAAGATCTATCAAGTACTACAACCCAACCTTGCTCTTTAGTAATTTCTGTGATAAAAACTGAGAAGGAAGATGAAGATAAAGGGGAATATTTGTCTATCAAAGAGGAAGTATTGCTTAAAAGTGAAGAAATGTTCCTGGATTGTGATGATTTGCCCATCAAAAAAGAAATTAAAATTGAGCCATTGGCTTTAAAAAGTGAAGAAAGTCATGTTAAAAGTGAACCAATAGCCCCTAAATGTGAGCCTTTAAAAAGTGAAGATTGTCCTGTTAAAACTGAAGGGAATCTAGATGGGAGCAGAACACAAACATTGAAAAGTGAGTTCCAACCTGTGGCTACCATCTCTTCTGTAATGTCTGTCAAAAGTGATGATTCATTACCACCATGTGGAGATACCTCAAACAAGAGTGAAGCTCCTGTTGCTGCGAGTAGTCAAGATAGCAGTGAAGTAAGAGGACTGGATGCCATGTCAAGAGAACAGGCTGAGAGTGAAGCTAATAAAGAAGATGCGACGAGCAGTCAAGATAGCAGTGAAGTTAGAGGACTGGATGCCGTGTCAAGAGAACAGGCTGAGAGTGAAGCTAATAAAGAAGATGGGACGAGCAGTCAAGATAGCAGTGAAGTTAGAAGACTGGATGCCGTGTCAAGAGAACAGGCTGAGAGTGGAGCTAATAAAGAAGATGTGGGGGAAGCTCAGGAGGAACCCAACAAAATTGTTGAAAACAACATTTCAAGTCAGCAGCAGGAGACACCTCAAAGTCTAAATTTTCCGGATGAGGAAAGTAGATCACACGAAAGTGATCAAAATGTCAGTAATGAGGAAGAAGAAATCCAGTCGAAGAATTTGGATGCTTACTCAGCAAGTCTCTCTGAGCCAAATTCGCCATTCTCTGATGAATCTGATTGTCCTGTGTCAGACATTCATGTAGAAAGTGATGATGTGAGTGTTAACGGGGATGGACTTTTGAATGAAAATGATTCTGATACAATGTGTGACAATGACACAATGATGACTGATGAAGTCGAAAGTAGTGAGAAGATGGACACAGACAGAGCCAAAACACCTGCTGTGGAAAACGTTTCTAGTTCAAACCTAAATGATATGAACCTCAGCGAATCATCAAATTTTTGTGATTCTACTGTTCTCGATACATCATGTACTGGTGATATAGTCAGTCAGGATCGCTCAAACAGTGCCAATGAAAACAATGCAACAAAAGGTATAATTTTGCTTTACCATATTTTACTTTCTTCAATTTATATTGAGGGTGCATGCTTAATATGGTTTCTTTTTCTTGTTAGAGTTCTGGACTTATGACCCAAATGCATGAATCTGTTATGGAAGTTTATATTTTTGTACCCATGCATGATTTCCTTTTTCTGGTTTCCTCTAAAGTGGTTGAATAGTTTTCTTGCACTCCCATTTTTGTATATATCCTAAATTCATAACCACACTAATTCTAAAACCAGATTTGAGTGCCTCTGATAAGATACATGTTACATTTTTCCAAGCACACAATACTAGTGAAAGAATGGCAGTACAGTTATTCCAAATTTATCATACCTATAAGTTCACTGATCAATTTTTAAATTTTTGTGCTATATGGTACAACTGAAAATCTTAAATTTCCTTTCAAAATCTTTTCAAAGCCATAACTTTTCCTCTTGATGTCTAGTCTCAGTAACAATCTTGCACTTGCAAGTAGCTTTCTTGAAAATAAATCCACTGTTACATTTTGTCTAAGTGCCATTGATTATTGTTTTTCTGTATGCTCTTATTTGAGCTGGAAAAACTATTTGTCTGGCTGGTTTGTAAAAAATTTATAGTAATAATACTTTCTTGTCTTCCCTTTGGTTTACAGGTTTCCGAAAAAGGTTTTTGAGCCATTCAGAGGACGATTCATGTGATACATTTAGGAATAAAAAGTCTAATGGGCTCTTAGAATCTGAAGAAAAAAGTGAAAATAGAAAAAGTTTTAATGAGACTAGCCACAAGAGACCTGCAGAACACGCTCCAGATATAGATTCTAAAAAGCAATGTTTCAGTCGTAAAGATCTAGCTAAGCAGCCAGAAGATGAAACGGAAAAGGAGCAAAGTCAAACTGAGATGTCGAATGAAAATTGTCCAACTCAAACAAAAGAAAATCTGGAGGATTCAACATTTGAACCTCTTGAAGAATCAGATAAAAGCCTAGATCTAGCTGGTCCAACAGATTTGCCTTTCCTGAGAAAAATGCATAAAAGACAATTTTCAAAAATGAGTCGGAGTGTGAGTCATCAGAAATTATAACTTTATTGTCACAATGACTTTCTTTATTTTTCATGTTTGTAATCTGTTATCATAGGACTTGGAAGAACTTATTCTTCAGAAGATGTGTGAAGCCATTACCGAACGTAGTTTAGTTGGAGAACTCAGAATCCGATGTCAAGCTTTGGAAATCCGACAAGAAAAAGAGAATGAAAAATTCAATAAACTTAAGAAACAGGTTTGGTTCCTTTTTCAATAGTATCTTGTTTTATATTTTCAAACAAATCATGAACTAATGTTTTTCTCATAGATGACTGAACTGAGCATTGTAATGAGGAAATACATGGATAATCAGAGACTGCACAAGCCTACACCACCAATTAGAGTCACTAGATCTGTTGGGCTTCAAGTATGCCCTGCTGTCAAACTTGTAAGTATATGTTCAATTTCATTTGAAAGAACCTGGATACAGTATTTGACTGCTGACTATGTTTTTTTACTGTTTCAGTGTTCACCTTCATGTTTCTCTTCTATACGGACAAGAGGCTGCCAACAGGCAGGTCAGGCAATTAATCAAAATTGGCCTCCTAAACAAAGTGTTACTCCTTCAAAACCGGACTCATCATTACCTGACACCCCTTCTCAAGTCCAGCAGGTCTGTCTACTATTTTTGTGTGTATTGTAAATTTATGGAACAGAAAGCTTAGAAAATTTCTGGTATATACTTGTGATACCACATCAATTTTATTTAAGGACCATGTTTGTAAGGTTATATTATCATGACTCTATTTTCCTATTTATTAAGGCAAAACAGGTGACACCTAATAAAGGAAGTCCTCGGCCAGCTACCAATATCGTCTCGTCTACGGTTCCTCCAGCTTTAGTTCCTACTGGAAGCAGCAATTCTACCGTGCTGCTTATGCCTGGAAGAGCTGTCATGACACCCCCTCGAGTGCAAGTGCCACCCTTGCAACAAATTTCGGTATGTACTGTAGTCCTGAAGGAATCTGTTCAATTGACTTTGTTGTCAAATTATGCAGGATTTTGATTTTTTTAATAGACTATACGGCCCAGATTCAGTATTCCCACTTCAATTGCCGCTACACCGCCACCACCAGTGATACCAACACAGCAAATATCTCCTGTTAGACACAGTTCCCCTCAAAGTACAACTCAGCAGAAGGCAGCAGGGAGCACTGATGTTGAAGTAATAGATATTGAAAATGAAGACCATAGTAAAAGATCAGGTAATGACGAGGTGGGGGTAATGTTTTAGGGGTAAATTCATTCATGGTAGTAACATGGTTTTGTCATGATTTCAATCACTTTTTGGTCTTGTTTTTTCTTTTTCTAATTCTCAATTTTATTTTTAGCTGGACTGCAGATATCTCCTCAACAACATCAGCATCAGCAGAAGCAGGCAGCTAACGCAGCTGCTCAGTCTCTTGCAGGAAATAGTGGAATGACTGTTCGTCTCATTTCACCTACTCAGGTAAGTAATCAACAATGGTACCAAGCACACATGATTTTCTCTGTACCAATCTATATTTAATTTTGATTTTCTTCTTCCAGGCCACAATTCCCACTGGCTATTCCAATTTCCTGGTACCAGCTCAAGGAAATATGCCTCAGAAAATGATAATTGCTTCACCACCACCAGTAAGCCATTGCTTCCATCAATTTTCTTGCTGTTACCAAGCTGTTGCCATGTCTTAACCTTTATTTATGATGGAAAACATGAATTTTCAGGGAAATGGAATTAGAGGTAACTTCAAATTTGTTATGAAGTCTAGCCAAGGGAATGTAATCATTCCAATTCAAAGTAATGGTAAGCAAAAGTTGATTGTTAAGTCTCTGGCAAGGAGAGTTTCTAAATTAACATGCATGTATTCATTTGTTTTCCTGCTTTTTTCAGGAGCAGCTGTGTCTAGCAGTGTTGTTCAAATTCCAGCGTCAGCGGCTGTGCAGCAAATTTTCACCAATGCTGGCGCAGGGAAGAGAACTAACACAATAGCACCAGCGCGACCAAACTCTTTAGTATGTGCACCTGCTTTAATTTTAGACCAATTCCTTATAAAGGAAAAAAACATAATAATTTTTTCTATTAATAAATAACTACTTTTTTTTTTATATCGAACTTTGTGTGTTTAGGTTCATCCTGCTCCTCTCCCTGTTGGACCACCTTTACAAGCTCAAAATCCGGCATGGAAGCAGATACCTCCTCGTCCGAATTTGAAAATTCAGCATCAAAACAATGGTAAATACAAGAAATAAATTGTGTTAGGGGCCGTCTTATTGTATTTTTATTTAATGTGTATTTCTTCTGGTTAGGAATTGTCCTTTCATGGAACATGGCCTTGGGCTCCCAATATGCAGATATTGAGAGCTATCAATTGTTTGCATATCAAGAGGGTGCTGCACCACCCAATCCAGGGCTTTGGAAGAAAGTTGGGGATGTAAAGGCACTGCCTTTACCAATGGCTTGCACCCTCACTCAGGTAACTTATTATCTAGTTCATTGACTGGTTCATGGCATATCCAAACAGGGACTCATTTAATGAATCTTGGTTTCAGTTTGTTGAAGGACACAGGTACCATTTTACTGTCCGGGCGGTAGATAAACATGGCCGAGTTGGACCCTTCAGCCAACAAGGGAGCATCCGGTTAGGAAATTAGTTGTATTTAGAATCAATTGAGACTGATTTGTGTTCATCCTCCTCTGTTTTTACGAGGGCGGGGGAGAGATCCTCGCGTGACTTGTCCAACACTTTAAATGTAAGGTCTTTTATCATAATTAATTTTAAATTCTTTTTATGTTATGTACATTTGTAAGTATCTATGCAATTCCAGTATTTGTGATGTGTTATACTGTTTGTAAAGCAATTATTTGTTTCTTGTATATCAGTGTATATGAACTTTTTGTACAGATTCTTCCAATTTAATAATTGGTAAAATAGACATTGTTTTCACTCAGCTTCGAGTTTTGAACATACGAGTTTGAAATCAATAATTTGTTTGTTGTGGAAGGGTGCAACCAAAGGTAGCAAAATTAAAATAACTAATTCGGTTAAACCCACTCTTTAAATTAGCAACACATTACATGAGCTCTGAAGTCACTGCAGCATCCTCATTCAGACATGAAGTTGGGACATTTTGAGCAACTTAAATAATATATATCAAACTTTCCCTTTGAAATGTAGGGGCTAATGGAAACCAATTGGAATCAATGTGAAATTGAATCATGCTTTAATCAGCACAGTCTTCACATCCAATTATAGGACCAGTATAAACACACAAAGATACAGCCATTTTACAATTACGAAGCCATGCAACTTGTACACATACTTGACACATTTAATTAGTTAGCTTTATATAAAGCCATTTCATGAAGTAACAACATGATCACGACCACAAACTGCAGAATTTAATGAAAATTAGAACATTATCTACCTACTCAAGGTAAATCAAGAAATCACTCAATCTTTTAGGCGGTTTTCTGATTACTGCACCCAATTTCAAGACTGTATGATCAAAAGCTTAGGCTCAAGAGTTACATGACTCCTTGGTTGGTGACATGGGTGACAAAATGAGTGCTGTGAATAATTACCTCTGCAGGTCTTCATTATAAAATGCTTATTGAAGAACCAGTCCAATCTGCAAAACAATTGACATCAAACTTTTTTTTCTGGCTAATTGATACACAGCTTAAAAGAAGGAAGCGGTGAAGATACCAACCAAATTGGGTGGCATGGATGGGCAGCGCCAGTTATACAGGTAGTACTGCAAATTTCCATCGCCTATGCCAAATTTGAGTGGTTCTAAAAATTCTTTGTTTTCCATCAAATCCAGGGCATTAAACACGTCAAATCCCATCTACACACAAACAAAATAATGGTATCAGTTCATACAGAAAGTACAAACAAAGGCCCATATAAACTGTGGTTAGTTGAGTAGTTTTTGTATACTTACATCCCTAGCAGCAACCAAAGCATCATTCATTAAATCTATCCAGCCAGTTTTATTAGACACATTATAGAATGAGTATGCTGCTTTCAGAGTCTTATGCACTGGGTGATGCATGACAGTTGATGGCAGGGTATAAAAACTAACAAAGTCTGCACAAAGGGGCAAGAATATAAAAAATTTATAAAAGAAAAAAATCTCAGCAGACCAACAAAAATAATTCTGCGTTAATTCACTTACCAGTGAGTTCTCTGCCATTGTCAACAACAAAACTGTCGACTATACCATCTTGAGGTGTAAACCAGTGTCTAAAATCTTCTTCCGTGAAAACAGGTGCCATATCAAATCGGCGCAGATACTGAGCAATTAGAAACATATGTTAGCATCAGTTGACATACCATACAAGAAATTACGAAAAAGTAGCATTTGCTTTGAAGCACTTACATCCATGAGCAGTTTGTGTGCTCCTGGAATGTCACTTTGACGCATCACTCTAAACCCAGGTGTTTTGGTGGTTTCTGGAAGCTTGAATAGCTTTAAAGTCCGTTGCATTGTCATATTTCTACTAAGATGTGAAAACTTGACTTCAATCAATTTTTTGGGATTGAGTGACCTATGCCAGTACCTAACAAAATTAAAAACAGCATTAACAATCTCAATCTATTCCACAAGAGAACTGAATGAGCTATAATATGCAAGATCTGCAGATTTCAAAACAATTTATACCATCATTGAACAATTACCTGCAGGTGCCAACAGGCTTGGGAAGAACAACACCAGCAGTATACACAGCCTGAAAAATACCCTTTTGGTTCACTCTTCTTGTTATTTCTCGGATAAGCACAGGAGCAACCCTCTTACTCCTCAACTTTTTGTGAACACAGAGAAAATTGATCTCCACCATCTTTTGAGAACTGAACAGGAAAGAGAAGGGCAAAGTTCAAGTATGGGTCACAAGAAAGTAAAAGCATCAAAGATCAATCTATCAATGAAACCATGCTACATACTGCTTGTAGATACTAAGAGTGGCGGGAATAGCACTAATGAAGCCAACAAGACGACCACTCTTCTCTACTCTCACTCCGACATGCCACTCTCTAAGCCATCCAGGAGGTTGCAATGCCCTGCAACCCATCATCAAATAAACAACAGCTTCTTGCTGACGAAGTATTATCTAAGAGAAAAGAAGATTGAGTAACAACTTTCAACATACCACTTTAAAAACTCCTGCTGATAGTCAAAACGGAACATTGAATCATCATCTTCAACATAGTTCTCATTCAAAAGTGTGTACAGCTCAGTAAGAATCAAGGGCTCATCAAGATTCAAGGTATCCCAAACAAAGCCATCTGGTAACGAGTAAGGTTCTGGGCGAATCTCATCAAGACGCCTATCAGGTTCAATTGGTTCATTCTTTTGGATCTTCTCATCTTAATTTGAAATAGAAACAAGCAATGGGATTTAATTGAGGTTGACATAGTAAATTAAACAACAGCTTAAGACAGTTTGACAACTCACCCATTTTGGGCACAGGCTGGGTGCTCCAAAATTTGTATTGTTTCTGTAATGCTTCCTCTGTTGTCTTGGCTGGTTTTTGTTGAAAGGATAACACCTCCATAGCTTTTCGAATATCCTAAAGAGAAGTTAATCAATTTTTAAGTATTTTGTAAACATGTACCATACTGCAAACACTGCAAACAATGGTTGAAGAGAGATGCAATCACCTGAAAGGAAAAGCTGCGAGCTCCTTGGGCATCTGCATCTTCTAGATTCAACTCTGCTGCTTGGTCTGCATCTATCACTTCTACTGGTCCCTTCTTCTGACGATTTTTTTTCTTGCCACTAAAAAAGATCATTTGAAATGGTTACTCACTCAGGGAACTAAATGCTTACAAATAAAGGTCATTTGAACCAAAGAAACTGGCCAAAGCAACCGTGTCATGACTAAAATTTAACATTTGTTGTATTTAAAATCAAGTAATATGAATTTACATAAAACAAGGTATAAAAAGTATTTGCCTTCGCTGCATCTGTTAAAGAATTTAAAAAAAAAATTACATCCTATTGTACATGACCATTGAACCTTGATTAGAGGCAAAAGTTCAAGACAAATAAATAGTATCCTGTATTCAAATAGCAATAAATCGAATTAAAAATACAAAGATGTCAAATCATGTGAACAAGAATTGTAAGTGACGGGCAACATTTTTGTAAGCAGGAGTGCAGTGTACTGTGCTAAGAGGAATAAAAGGTTAGAATGGAACGCCGACAGCTTTGGTTAGTACTTCTAATGTAGTTACAAGGAGCATACCTCTTTGATTTTGATTCAGATCCATTTGGAAGCTCCTTTTCAATATTCTTTTCTTCCATTTTCTGTTTTATTAAGCTTAGACCATTCAATGGGGCTTAATAAAGGCGTGAGTGTGTAGAGGGTGTAGTTCGTACTCACTACCTTTCCTTCCTCCCCCCTCCTCCCCCTTTCCCTTCCCCGCCCCGAGTCCGTCGGAAACAGGAACCACGGGAACGGGCCTCTCATCTGTGGTGGTCACATTCTGGAGACGGGCCTGAATCCGAGAAGTTACCTACCCACCCACAGCCCCATATTGGAGACAGTCTATTTTCTCTCTGGCCTCTTTGCTTTTCTCTTCTACAAAAAAATTAATAAATCCGTAAGAGTTTGGTTTCCTCCCAGCTCCCCCCCCCCCCCCCCCCCTTCTCATCTCATGCCGGTGCGCAGCAGAGTCCAGAGGCAGAGGGCGTAGTAGTATTTGTTGACGTTTGATTTACCTTTTGTGTCAACACTAAACAGAAACATTCTTCCTAAGCGGCCAAAGCCGTGCGCTTACTTCTGGTGGAACTAATATCATGTCAGACACAACAAGAATTAATACCATATTTTTGGGAGAGGTCAGTCAGTTACTGTCGAGGGTTACTCGTTAAAAGTGCAGAATCAAATCTTTAATGTGGGATACCTACCTAGAAATATTTTTGCGTTAGCTTTACAGCAGAGTTGATTTGCTTCCAGGTTGCTTCAGTTCAAAATTATGGTGCCTTTGTCAAAATTCCAGGCACCTCTAATCAGGGTTTGGTTCATCGTAGTCAAATCTCGAAGGTCAATGTTCCTGACGTGTCTGAAGTTTTAGCCAAAGGTGATCGAGTTTGGTGTAAGATTGTTAACACTACTGTAAGTAGTCATTCAATTGTCACAAAACATCAGTACATTTAATGATTAGATACAGCTGAGCTTCTTGACTTTGCATTGTTTTCTGTAGGATGATGGTAAAATTGGATTGTCAATGAAAGTAGTTGACCAAGGAAATGGTAAAGATTTGGATCCTGCTGGTGTGCAGATGAAGTGAGTGTAACAAAACTGGATATTACAAAACAAGTTATGTCTTCAGTGAGATCTGAGTCTCAAACATGATGTTCCAGGCTTGATGAGCAGAGGCGTAAGGAGTGGACTCCTGGCGAAAAACGCAAGACAATATCATTGGAAGCTGTATTTAATACTACATGCAGTAAATGTGGCACACGAGGGCATCTTAGTAAAGATTGCTTCCAGGTATATTTTGGTTTCATATATACCAAGGAAATTGCTTCATAAGTACTAAGCTCCAATTTATTTTGATTGACAGGTTGCAGGTGGAAAAACTTATGAACTTCTTCCAGAGGATGCTTTACCACCTTCAACTATACCCTCACCCAATAACAAAGACACGCTTGACTCGCTGGAAAAAATACGTAAAAAGAAGGAGAAGAAAGAAGCCAGAAAAGAAAGAAAAGAAGCAAAGAAAAGGAAGAAAGCTGCCAAAAAGTTAAAGAAGAAATTGAAGAAAAAGGCTAAAAAAGTAAAAAAACTGAAAAAGAAAGAATCAAAGCATTCTTCTTCTGATGTAAGCATTTTATTATATATGGTTCACAGACAGCAAAGGCAGAGAAAAAATTTTCTGTGTTGTAGACATATTTTAGTTTTTTTTATCTGGTTTCTGATTTGCAGGATTCCTCAGATACTTCTGACAGTTCGTCTTCATCAACAGAGAGCGAAAGTGATGATGAAAGGCATAAAAAGGAAAAGCTCAACACATCAAAATCAAAAACTGTTGAATCTCATGAAAGGTATAATTCAGTTGGTATAACAGTTGGTTGTGTTTTGTTCTAAGTTAGTTCAAGCCCAAATGTAATATTGGTTCTTTGCTTATCTTTCAGAAGATCAAGATCAAGTTCTCATGCTAGGATTTCAAAAAGATCAAGATCTAACTCGGGATATTCACAAGAGAGAGCTGACTTGGAGGACAGGCGCAAAAGAAGGAACTACTAGAAGGAATATTTCCAAATGTAATGTGTTAGGGATATTTATCACATTTATTGTCTTTTAATGAAAGGTGTTTTTATTTTTTTTATCACAACAATTATGTTAGAACAAATTTTCATCATTCACTGCTGTTGCTTAAATTGTTGCATTTTGCGATGACAGTATTATAAAAGCTTCAATAAATTTCTGATATTTGGTCCTTTGATATTGGTGTTTTTCTCTCGATGACCTGTAGACTCTAGGAATGATACCTATTGGGATGGAAAAACCCCATCTCATAAAAGAGCAGGCTGGAACCAGCTGGAGTTCGAGGACTCAGTCCTAGTGAAGCTGCAGGGGCAAAAACAGACCTTCCCTTCTCCTGATGGGTAGGCAACGCGCAGTGCTCTCGACGGTGGGTAGAAATGTACCGCGTAATTTGTCATACGAGCGGTGTCAACACACGTAACGGAGAACGAGAAATTCCTCGCTCGGAGAAAGGAACACATTCATTGTGGTCATCATGGCGGCTGCTGTCAAAGACGTTAAAGCTTTGTTCAAAAAGTTGAATACCAAATGGACTTCAAAGCCTCGAAATCTGAAAGAATGCGGCGAACTTTTAGCGAAGCTCAAGGTAAACAAAAACCAAGTGTCTCGGTGGAAAGCGTGCCAATATCTCTTAAACCGGCCGTTGAGGATGCCGTTAGTTTCCTCGTCTCGTTTTGACAGTGACGAGCGTTTTCGCTTTTAGATCGTGTAGATCCTAGGTAGGCTCGCAATTGTTTGTACGCTACATCAGTTATGCGCGACTCTGGTTTATTTTATTCATAATATTTTTATACTCGACAAAATTGATAACTTTTAACCCTAACCTCTAAGTTCTATGTTGAATCAAAACGAGCCAATGCCGTTTTCCGTACACTTGAAATCGTTTTGAGTGACTCAATTGGTCGTTATTCAGAACCATCATTAATTTGTTTGACTCATATTGTTTGACTGTTTAGGTAGGGTTGACAAGCCTGGTGTTTCTGCCTACTTCTAATGCGCAACCTTCTGAGCAGGAACTCCTCTTGGCAAGTAAGTATGAATGAATGGCGTGTCAGGTACTTCTGAAAGATCAAATTTTGGAACTTTATCTCTAAATCAGTCTCTGCTACTTCTCAGGAGATGTTCTGGAGATTGGAGTACAATATAGTATTGCTACCAAAGATATTCCATCGTTTGAGCGTTACATGGCTCAGCTCAAATGCTACTATCTTGATTACAAGTCGTAAGTAGTGTGGTATGACATTGGACTCTGGATCTTTTTGTCATTGGAACTGTGATCATTTAGTTTTTCTATATTACAGGAGCCTTCCAGAATCGCCTTTCAAGGATGAGCTTCTTGGTCTTAATCTGTTATTCCTGTTGTCTCAAAACCGGGTAGCTGAGTTCCACACTGAATTGGAATTGCTCCCAGCTGATCATATCCAGAAAAATTTGTACATCAGTCATCCCTTGTCCCTTGAACAGTACTTAATGGAAGGCTCGTACAATAAGGTGAGTGTTTGTGGCATCTAGTTGGTTGTGTCCTCTTTCCTCCTTTTTGTTTGATTGTTTTCCATATATATCATTATTTACTGAGTCCCTCCAAAATTTCAGATATTTTTGGCTAAAGATAGTGTTCCAGCTGAAAGTTACAACTTTTTTATCGATATCTTGCTTGATACAATTCGTGGAGAAATTGCCGCATGCATGGAGAAGGCCTATGACAAGGTTACTTTAAATGAGGCTGCTCGCATGCTTCACCTTAACTCTCTACAGGCAATTCAGGAATATGGAAATAAGGTGGGCGCCATCTTTAATTATTTTTGTTGCAGAAAGCATATTAATTGTAACTAATAAATTGATTTTTGGAACCTATACAGCGTGGGTGGGCTTTGCGGCCTGATAACATGTACCACTTTGGACCAACAGAACAGAAGATGGATGATGGTTTGCCATCAGCTGAGCTTGCCTCCCAAGTAGTAGAGTATGCTCGTGAACTAGAAATGATTGTATAAATAAGAAAACCAAACGATAATTTGATTGAAGAATATTACTAACAGATGGTTTCTGCTAGACATTTTTTATGTCCCTTTGTTTGTACCGATGTTAATAAACCACTACATTTTCCTTTTTGTAACTTGGTTTCTTCCTCCCATCGTAAGAAAAAAAAACATTCTAATGCCAGTCCTATTGTAAGTATCTCCAAATCTTTTATGGGTTAGGTTTAATTGATATGTAAATGTCTCTAGTAAAGTAACTTTGGGTATGAATAAAATTCAATCAGCCAGTAAAACTAAAACCCTTTATACAATTTTCATTGGAAGATAACATTAAGTCTCAGGAAACTGAATAAATAAGCATGGCAGCATGTACCAATAATGACAATGTTCCAAATGATGTTACTCTACAATTCATATTACATAAAACCTCTTGGTCTCACCAGTAAAATACATATGGCACCATTATTTATAGATAGTGAATGCAACTGTCTACAATGACCTACAGAATTAAGTCTAAAGGAACTTTGTTCAACAACTCATTTCATCTAGTTTGTCTACATATTTTTACTTAAGGAAAAAAGTCAGCAGCACAAGGAAAAGAACCTCCCCAAATATTTCTCATCAAATGTTCATTACTAAATAGTATGAAATAATCTTATTGAAGCAACAATACAATAAATAAAAATTAACTAGGAGAACTAATTTACTTTATCTAGTAGCACTGTCACCTACATCAGAACCCTCTTCATCAGTGTGGCTCTTCTTTTTGTTTTCTGCCTCATTCTTGAGTTGCTGCTGCCACATATTCGCATACACACCATCTTCAGCGATTAAATCAGCGTGACTGCAAGCAAATATCAGTCGATAAGAGATGAGGGAACTTGAAATTTCCAGATAAATATGCAATGGGCAAAACCAACATACCTTCCCCTTTCAACAATTTCACCTTCCTTCAAAACAAGGATTTCATCAGCATGAATGATAGTGGAAAGACGGTGAGCAACAATTACTGTCGTACGGTCAGTACAAACTTTATGAAGAGCTGCCTAAAGGGGGAGAAAATCAAAAAAATTAATAAATTTCAATGAAACACAAACAGTTTATCATACTCTTCAGGTGAACAGCACTTACCTGAATATTTCTTTCAGTTTGGGTATCTAATGCACTAGTCGCTTCATCTAGAAGGACAATAGCAGGACTTTTAAGAAGGGTCCTTGCTATTGCAACTCTTTGCTTCTCTCCACCACTTAGTTTCAAACCACGCTCTCCAACCTGCAAAGAAACATGTTAGGTTAGGTTAGGTCAGTTTCACAGTACCTGATGAGCAGCACTTTTCACATACTTGTGATTCATATTTATCAGGGAATGTAAGAATGCGGTCATGAATTTCAGCACTTTTGGCAGCTGCAATGACATCCGCCTCAGATGCATCCAAACGTGCATATTGAATGTTGTACCTGTGGAGGAGAATTTTCAGTTAGGTGCGTAGTCACAGGCAAAAACAGGTTTAAACAAAAAATACTGAGAACTCACATAATGGATTTGTTGAAGAGAACAGTGTCCTGTGGAACTACTCCAATATTTTGACGCAATGAACTTTGTTGTACAGTTTTTATATTTTGGCCATCAACAAAAATAGCCCCACTATCAACATCATAAAATCGGAATAATAATCGCATAATAGTTGTCTTTCCACTACCTGATGGTCCAACCTGAAAAGAAAAACATGTTAAACAATAAATTATCACTGCAGCCAGACATGAGGAAAAAATTAACTTCATCACAAATGGATAATTTAGCTTACAATAGCAACTGTTTTCCCCCCTGGAACCGTAAAACTGACATTCTTCAGGACTGTCCTTTCTGGGAGGTATGAAAATGATACATTAAAAAATTCAATTTTCCCTTGACGAATAGCCAATGGGCTTGCTCCTGGAATATCCACTATTTCTTGCTCTTCTCGAAGGAGATCAAACATGTTTTCCATGTCAACAAAGTTTTTCTGAATGGCTCTAAAAACATAAGAAAAAAAATAAAAATTTAAAATAAATTTCACTTTTGCCCACTACAAACTCTGAACCACCATACTTACCGATAATAGGTACCAAACCAGTTAAGAGGCACATATAGCTGAATTATGTAAGATGCAAACAAAACATAGTCTCCAACAGTGAGTTCTTTCAAATCAACAATCATATGGACACACAGCAAAGATCCTGCCAGAAGGCCTCCACTTATGATAAAGTTTTGGACTGTGTTTAAAATATTTAGGGTTAAACTATTTTTCCATTCTTCTGCCTGCAAAAGGTAGTTTTGTTGTGACATAAACAACTTAAAAGCATGGGAGCACTAACACCTTACATGAAAATTCAAAAATCTTCTGGAAAACATACCTGGTATGTAATAATGGCTTCTTTGTATGCATCAACTTCATAGCTTTCAGCACCATAATACTTAACTGTTTCAAAATTAAGAAGGGAATCCACACTCCTGGCCTTTTGGGCATTGTCTGCCAGGTTCATGCGTCGTTGGAACTTGGTTCTCCATTCAGTCACCATTATGGTGGCAGCTTTAAGAAACAAAACGCAGTTAAAATAACAATTACTTGTTAGCCACGTGGGACTGTTGAGCAGATATGGATGAGAAGTCCACTTCATATATGACAATCTAACTTACCTATGTAGAGTGTCATGGTAACAAATACAATCAGACCAAACCAGCCATTGAATGATGACACAAAAAATACAACAGCTATTACTATGTCAGTGATTGTGGGGAAAATGCTGAAGAGGATGTAGTTGAGAAGATTATTAATGCTGTCTGTGCCTCGGTCCATTACTCGGAGTACTTCGCCAGTTTTACGGCCCAGGTGCCAACGCAAACTCAATCCATGAAGGTGTTGAAAAAGGGACAACTTTAAAGAAAACCTTAGTTAAAATTATGTGGTTATTGATAGGTTTATTTGAAGGCATGAAAATTATAGCAACTTGCGAGGCAACGTTAGCACATACCTCAACCTCACGAGTAGTATACTGCTGAATTTTTATCCACAAAAAAGAACGCAAGTTATTCAAAAGTCCCATTGCTCCTGTTCCACTTCCTTGGAGGAATTTGAAAAGTACGTAAACTATAACCAAGTCGAAACGAAAGACAGGAGAAGTCATTGTGATACTGTCAACTGAAATAAAAAAATCTTTTGTTATGAAGAGAAAAATATGAGGTATTAAATTAAACATTTCAAGGCAAAGAAAAATTCTAGTACCTATTAGTTTGCTGAAGATGGGCACATACAGGTTGATTACACGGCCTCCAGCAAGGAGCAGAAAACAAAACAACACTCGAAACTGAAGCATTATTTCTTTCCGAGGCCACAAGAATGGAGCAAGAATTCTCATTTTCTTCCAGAAATTCCGCCATGTTGAGCCACTTTGAGAGTTAGGGTCCTGAGAAATTGGAAACATGGTCGTGAACTCTAAATGCACAAACTTAAAGGTATGTAAAATTTTCTGTCTTTATTTCCACTAATACTCTGTATGATAAAAACAAATTTGATCATTTTTGAAAATGAACAGTGGTCTTAGTGGCTGTGCTTCAGCAATGATTGCCATAACCATGGAGAGCAGAACAAATAGATTCAATAATGTGAACAGCTCACCTCTATGATAGGAATTCTAGCCTCGGAACCAGCAGCACCTATGTTGTAATAATCACGATATGTCATTATACCCGGAGCTCTCAACCCAAGCACAAATATGCCCAAGCATGATACATAGCGGAGTACAAACAGAGCCATTTCAATTTTGTCAGTGACCCTGTAATATTGAAAATTAATGAGATTCATCCAACAGTCATCAAATAAATGTTTGAAACCTTGATAGGGCTTACTTACGTGGTAAGGTGAAACCACCAATCATCTTTGCGCAGGTTAACAAAACTAAGGTTTTCAAAGATGAACAATAACGTCCAAAATAACAATAGAACAAGCCCATGACCTCTTGAGGGGACTGATGGTAGCAAATAATGCCGCTCAACAACCAGGAGAGCTATGGATAAAGGATATTGTACCAGCGACAACACAAGGGATAAGATCTAGAAAAGAAATATTCAACACATCTTCAAGTCTTCAGATAACAACAACAAAAAGAGGGAAAAAAGCTATATGTTTCACTAACCATGTAACCGTACACGGCATAGCCATTAACAAGGGTGGCTTGCACAAGAAAACGACTTATGCAAAGCACAGGAAGCAGAACTAAGAACAGTATTTGAAGGCCATACAGCTGTGATTTCGGAAGGGATGCTGAAGTGACTGTGGTCCCATATTTGTGGTAAATCCATAGTTGAGATGTTCCAAATAACAAGAGCCATCCTGCCGTAATGCTATTAGAAACTGTGTCCATAAAGCATTGTGAAGTGCCTCCATTTACCCATATTTCATTGAGTGTTATATTCGGAGGGCAAAACAGTATCATGGTAATATGTGTTTCTGGAAAGAAAAAAAAAGAGATAGTAATAATTACAGTTATTATGACTCTAAATAATCTACTGCAGTTAGAGTCCGAAAGACCACCCTCTGAGAAACTTTAAGACTATAACTGCAATAAGCCAACCTGCCGAAACGTCATAACCTGTAATTTTAAGTCCCAAGCGAGCAAGGACAAGACGGACGGTGACATCAACCACAAAGTCAATAACAAATACACAACTCAATTAAAATTATTTTAACATACTCAAATACTTCAACATGATCTCTCACAACATTAAGTTAGTTATATGGGATAAACAAAAACATCGTCTGCTACGTCTGCTGCAGACAACACAAAAGTCGACGCGAGCACAAATTGCACAATGTCACCGAAAGACTATTCGGAATTTATAAAATATCGATGGAAAATTCACCTCGAACCTCCACTTTGATGCGTCAAATTTTTGCCACCTTACATTACACCGAACCGGCTAACAAACAAAAACGGAGCTGAGCAAAGAAGGAAAAACAAAGATACACCAACAAATATAACCATAACCCGCTGACGAAAAACAAAATGATGGTGCACACCGACTAGCTAAACTGAAGTGCTGAACGGACGAGGGCACCGAATCGTACTTACTTCACCTGAACGTTGCAAGTCTTGTCTTGTAGTGTTGCAAACAATCTGTTAAGTCATCATCATTCACACGTCCTTTCCTTCCGCTCTAATAAAAGTGCATCAAGAGTCGTACTCGATGTTGCCACTAGATGAATGGCAAAATTACTAACTTGAGAGCTGCATCCAGCGGATATAAATGAATTTAAGTGTAACTCGGAAAAATGTAGGTGTTTAAGTTAAATTTGTTTGTAAGTGGGAAAGGAAAATAAAAGGCCTGCTTTTCATTTTGCCGCCACAACTATTTCTCATCTGGAGCACTAATGCCAACAGTACAACCTAATCAACGGCAGCAAAAAGCTGCTCCCAATATTCAACTCAAGTCCATAAAATCAAAGTCGTATACAATGGGGACAAACGGCGTGCCTACTTTTCCTATACTGACTTTTCATCTAAATCTTTTAGAAATTCCCGATCACTCTTCCGTTTGCTTCTTTCTAATTTGAGGTTGGTGGATTTTGAACACAACCGATCTTTTGGAAAGACAAGGCGCAGAGTTGAGTTTGGGTACCGGTGGTGGATGGCGGTTATTGTACATTGATATGTTTCCTAGTAATCTTCGTAATGTTTGCATTCAAGTGACATTAGTTGAAATTGTAGCCATCAGTTTTTAAGTTATGTGAGTATGAACTTATCAGAATTTAGACATGTAACATTATTACTTGGTGTTCTTTCACCCGTATCCTAGTTTCATTTTTCACCTCGGTCCGAGGTCCGTTCGTTTGAGGTTGCTCTTTTAGTCAGTACATTGGCAATGCAGATAAACCTTTTGCTTCTTTTCCATGATTCATAACGATTAATCTCAGAGTAAATGTTTTTTTTTTTTTTTTGCACTGCAATGTTTATACATTGCCAGATACTTGTACATGACCCTCTGCCTGCATTGTTCAACCAGACAGTCTTCAGTTAATAACAAATGTGTTGGGCACAGGTTTCATTTATTGAGACAGTTTTTCAATCCTTATTTCATTTTTACTGTGGGTGAGCTCTCAATTATGTGTTTGGTTTTTTCTTGTTGTTTCAGCTTGTGCCATCATGGAGCGGTCCTCTCAACCAGTTCGAAGAAGCAAGGGACCCCGAGTTCTTGCCAACACAGTAAAGAAACCAGACAAGAGTTTGAACTCTTCCTCAAACAGAAGCTTTGCGAAAAAGTCCTCTAGTCATTGTAAGCATTTAACTACATTTGAGGATTAAGAATGTTCGTTGCCAACAACTGATAACTCTTTTTGCCCTTCTTATTGTAATTTTAGATATTCAAGATCTTCGGAATAATAATGCAAAGTTAGCACATTCGCTTGCAGTTGAAAAAGCAAAATACAGTGCCCTTGCTAGAAAATTTGTAGAAAATGAAAAGGTTCATGTTCATCAACAGGTACAAAATAATTATTTGTTAATTACCATTTTTCACTTTTTCCTTTAAAGAGTTTTTGATAGATTTGCCAATTCTATTCTTACATGGTATTTTCTCCACAGGCTGAATTTAGAACCCTTTCCAGAGGTATTAAATCTGGAGTCAAATTTTTGAATAATTCAGTTGAATCAATGTACGAAGGAATTCAGATTCTTTCTGAAGTGAATGACAAAATTAACAGGTTATGGCCTGAAACTGGTGAAACAGTTGCACCTCAAACGTCAGTGGCAGATGTAAATCCTCTGTGTACTTCAAGCAGTACAACAGCACCCACAGTTGGTGACAATCGGTCAGTTGCATCACAAACTGTTCCCCCTCCAAAGACAAGTGAGTTGTTTTGTCATTATAGTCCCCTCAGAGATTGTATTTTCTTTCAACATCTATTGCATTTCTGTATGTTTGACTTCAGATGTGTCATCACCAAGGCATGGTACTGTTATGCCAATGGTGAAGGGTCAAGTCATATCCAAGCCAACTATTTCTCTGCGAAGAGTTAATGTGCCCCTTGGATTATCAAATAGAAACAGGGTCCAGCTGCCACCCACTAGAGGTATATACAAAGCTTTTGATCTCACTGATCACTTTAATAATTTTTGATCTAATAATTGTCATTTATCTGCAGGCACCTTTGTTGATAACATTGTTGAGCCAAATCGATTGAGTATTGTTTCTGAGGAGGCAAGTGTAATTTTTAAATGTAATTGCTTAATTTGTTTAAATAGTTCAGAAGTTAAATTTCTTTTGGATTCCAGGTAAATGAATCAAGGGAAGAGCCTGCAAACAGCAACCAGATGCCCTCGCCCTCCAATCAAAATTCTTCACATGTCTCTGGGCCTTGCTCTACTAATGCCTTACCTGCGTCACATGTTCTATTGGAACGTATTGAAACTGACTTTGTGCTTCCATCAAGTAGTGCTTCTACGGAGATTTTAGTCGATGATGATGATAATACAGGCGTTATCTTTGGAAGGTTGGGATACTCTGCTGCACATGATGATACCTTACCTCTATCCCATCTCAAGAAGGCTTGTTCAAAGAGTCCACCTACAGGAAAACAGAACACAACGCCTCCTCTTGACACATCTAAAAGCAGTACTGATTCTAATGAGTATGAAACTGAATCAAGTTCTGAGGATGAAGGGCTTGCATTGCAGATTGTTGAGTCCAAGAAGTCATTCATAGAGCGAAAACGACAATTAGATTCCAAAGAAGGTACTTCTTGGAATTATGATGATGCTGGAAAATATCATGGACGGCCACCAAAAAGAAAGAAGTCTGCAAAATATTCAGGAAGTAGTGGAACTTCATCATCCTGGCCACAGCCCAAAGGTAATGAGCACCATGAAGATAATGTACCTACTTTAAGAGATCGAAGAGCTAAGACTTCTTTAGAGAAAGTTATAAGTCCTAAGTTACAAAAGAAAGAAAATGTGTGTAAGAGTCAGTTGACTGTCTCGGAAAATGGAGAGCTCTTGCAATCTTCCGAGAATGATGTGATGGACACAACAAATTGTGAAGAAATGTCTATGTCTTTTACATGTGTCACTGTAACAAGATTACCTATTGTCTTGTCTACTAATCAAGCTGAGACCAGTCCAGAAAGTGCTCAACAATCACCCAAATTATCGGAGCAGCAACAACACTCTGAAAGGAAAGTGTTTGTTACCCAAAGATCTCACAGCAGAAGACCTCGTCCAGAGAGTCCTGACTCTCCAAATGTTTGGCGTTCTAGTCTCTCTCCATTATCAAGTAGAAGAGCACATTCTGATTTGGAAAATAATGAAAACTCACCTCCAAGTCCTGTTGTAGCTGTAAGAGGACACTTGAGTTCAGGATCAAGCATTCCTGAAGGTCTCTCTCAGTTGCCAAATGTTGTTTTAGAACGCCTTCCAAGCAATGTTATATCTGGTAATACTTATCTACCAGACTGTTTAGACTCATCAATTCATCGTTCTTTTAAGTCATCTGATACACATGCATCTCACAGTATAAATCGGTTCAAGTGTCAATTAGCCAACTCTGCGACCAGTGCCAAAGTATGTGACGACAAACAACTAAATGAAGGCTCAGGAAATATGGAAAGTAAGTGAGAAATATTCATTTGCAGTATTAGCACAGTCAATGGAACTTTTTTTAAATATTGGGTGGGTTTTGATAGATTGCTAATGTTGTTTCAGAAAAATCTCAAATGATAAAAGTGTCTAAGTCAAAAGAAATGAGAGAGGATAGAAAATCTCCTGGGTAAGGTTTTATTTGCTTTCTTTCCACTTTTCAACAACTTCAACTTGGGTGCTTTGCTTCTTCATTTCATTCAGCATATGTGTCTTTTTTCCTTTAGGAGTCCAAAAGTGCCACGTGTTGAACTGCACAACGGTTTTACAGACTCAGAGGCAAGTCTAATGGGTGAGTCTAAGAGGTCCCCACCATCAGAAGAAGAAAGCAGCCTTTCACAGAACATGAAAAGTAGGTGAAAAATTGTGTGCAGCTTAATTTTATAGAGAGCAAGAGATTTAGCTTTGCATAAATGGTGATGTTAATAACTCTGGTTCTTTACAGGAATGGTGGAACAATCATCAAATGCAACAAAGGCAAAGAAGAGATGTGCTAAGTCTCAAAAGTAAGCACGCTTTATTTTTGTTCCATTTGTTTCTCATTCCAGCTCTCAAAATGTGTGTTTTGGATTATGATGATTTCTGATCCGTACTTTCTGTTAACTGCACAGAAGTTTGGAAGGGGCGAGTTCAAGTTCAAACCCATCGTCCTCCTCTGACCCAATCTTCCCTCATGAAAGAGGTCCTGAAGAGGGTAAGCATATTATTGATTATCAATAAGTTATTAAATCAAAATTTTGTGTAGTGCTCCAACCTAGTTTTGGAAAACATCACAATGATATTCCAATTATCTTTCTAGGAAACCAACCAGAAATGGAGGTCCAATCATCAAATGCATCAAAGCCAAAAAACAGAAGTGCAAAACCTCAAAAGTAAGTTGGCTCTGTTTGTCTCTCTTGTCACATTTTCTCTTTCTCAATCTTTTCTTGAATCTTATTTGGAGTTCCCTCCACCCCCTTGTAAAATAAGTTATGCTTATTGTCTCATAATGCAGAAAAGGTAACAGGTCCTTTAAGTTTTGTTCATATTTTTTGTTTATAATGGTTTCAATTGCGCAGGACCTCAGAAGGATCACATGCTAGTGCAAATTCATCGTCTGCCACTAGTGATGGCTCAGAACATGGTAAGTATATTATTTTTAATAATAATTAATGTTGATTGTCATATGCTAATCCTGCATTCATAATTGTTTTTGTATGCAGGTTGTGTTGAGCGGCCAAAAAGACATGCTGCCCCTACAAATTTAAAGGAGCCTAAGTGCAACAGGTAAGTCACCAGTTTGTGGCATGACTAATGAAGTTAAATGCAACAATATTGTTAATTTAATTAAGCTTGTTCTTGTTGCAGAAAAATGAGGAGGACTTAAGGTTCTTCTGAGGAGTCGATTTACTTCAAAATCAGGGGAAACCAAGGTATTGTCGTCTCTTGTGATACCTCAATTGTTGATTTTTTATGCATCTTATGATCCAATTGTTAAATGCACATTTTAAAACAAGCCTCTTTTGCTTTGTTATTGTTGAAAATATGAAAATTTCATTTTGTTCTTGAAAGTTAAAAAAGTTAGTCGCTTAAGCTATGTCAAATGTATTATTGTTTTCTCTTTTGTTTTTCTTGTATTCAATTTTCATTTAATAATGAGGGAACCCTTTTTGAAGTTTCGGATTCCCTAATGTATCTTTGGGTGAATTTGTTGCTAGGTGCAATATTGTTTGTCAATTTTCTGAAACTAGAATCACTCCCTTTAAGATAAATTTATTCTCTGCACTGTTGAAGTTCTGAAATCTGGAATCTGTGGAAAACAAAACCGGGTAGATCTTTTAGGGCAGATTTTTATTTGGTCAAATTTAGCTTTCTGATTTGTAAAGTCTCAGTTGCTCTTGAAGTTCATCCATGGATCTAATTTGGAATTTATCCTCTTTTTCTTTCAATAGTTTATAAATAGCTGCTAGCTGCGAGGCTTGCATCCTGAAAATTTATGAAAGAAACATCAATGAATTAGAATATGTCGTTACGTTATGTCAGTATCAAACCTTAATGGCCAAATTTAACTTACTCTCTCTCATTTATTAACTGTTGTTCCGACAAGCCTGCTGTCAACTGTTTCTCAATTTCTGCTTGTCTAATGGTCTTAATATGCTTCATCATACTAGTATCACTAACTTTGTCTGATGTTAATTGGGTGGGTGCATCTTGTATGTTAGTTGGTACTTTTCTTCTTTGGGACATATTATTTTCTGATGATCCTATTGATGCTCTATAGAACTCTTGTGTTCTCATTGAAGACTTAAGTCTTCCTTCATTGTCCTGTAAAATGTACATTGAGACGTTTAGATAGTCAATGTATTTAATATCATGTGAATAGTATGATCAATACCAATTTTTATTAAATATTAATTTTATTGCATTTGTACCTACTTGACATACCTTATGTCCCTTTGCAATGTTTGTACTAAACCACCAAGTGAAGAACAGGGCTAAAATGGTTAACAGAGAACTACACACGTACACAGGGGAGAGGTTAGCATAGAAAATAAATAGATTTTCCCAGTTTGATTCTAGGTTCCCAGCCATGACAATGTCACACTAAGGCTTGGTTCTTGATGTAAAACTGTCAATGAGCTGATGTGAGAGAGTCAATAGTGGCTATGTCACATCACAGTTCGCTATCACATTTAGGATACAAATGACAAGGAAAACAAATACAACCAGACCAGCAGCAGCAGTCGAACAACAAGTGTGGAAAAACGAAAAGCAGGACAGTACCGGAAAAATCATGCCAACTGGAAATAGAGTCTCATTATGATCGTCTGGTATTTGACATGGATACTTCCGCACCATCACAAGAAACCTAATGAAGTATAAAATTGCTTATTTTATGAAGTGGTCATTTTCTCAAAACGCATGTCAGAACAAGCACAGACTGTGGACCTTCCCTCAACGTCAGTTGGCACTGGTAACCTCACTTATGGTCTTATTCGGTCGTTGTTGGTTAAACCGTGAAACAGGGAACAAACCCACGAACTGTAAATAGTGCGCGTGCTACTGCCAATACATAAGTTAAAACTTGAAACTGTTACTAATTTTGTATTATGTCATAATTTAGAGCGCCATTATGCAGCCCTCACCTATGTCAGATAAACAAACATTAAGGAAATCTGAATTTCCATCATGTGCCCGGGAGGCTTTGCAGAAAGTCGGTAAGTGAGGTTAGGTAGATGGTTTGTTTTGATTGTCTGGACCAAGTGGGTTTTGTTTATTTGAATTATTTCTCTCCATTAAAATAACATATGTATGATCAAGTACCATTAAATCCCTATGCAGCTCTTCATTCGCATATGTCTATCATTTTTTGCTCCCTTACTCATACGAAACTCTGTTTCAGAACAACTATGTGTCCCTCAGGCCGGTGGCAGACCTCCGAGTGCCAAAGAAATGGATCTAGCAATGGAAATTATGGCAGAATTTATCTTTTGCGAAGTAGATAGGCGCGGTAACAACAAAAAAGTATGTAATTCTGAACTTTGTTGATGTAAACACATGTTGCGTTAACAGGATTGTTACGCAATAATGATTATTGCTAAAACTCTTTCTCGTGCTATGAAAATTCTTAATGCGCTTGTTTTCTCTTATCTTCTAGTTGACATGCATTCAACAGCTTCAGTTAGCTCAACTTCTTTGTGATTATTTTGCTGGTGTCCACTTTGGCAGTGGTGGTCCCACAGGAGCTGCAGCCGGCCCCAGTGGAGATACTGCCCGCAATACTCTTTTTCTGTCTCTCTTCCCGCCCACCACCAGTAAAGGCAGAGCACAGGCATTGGTGCAACTGGTTTCCATGGCTATTTCAACAAAAAACAAGCCCGTATTAGATTCCACAGGAATATGGATGCAACAACTTGGGTGTACTTCTAAGTTAGTAAAGTTTTTCCATATGTTTTGTCAGTGTACAATCAATTTTGTTTGGTTTGTGTTATCAACAGCTCTGTTATCTGTTCTATTTCAAGGTTGGTTTTGCAACTAGCTGATGGATTAGTTAAGGACTATTTTGTACTCGTACCAAAGGCTGTCACTCGTCTTCAGGACCTACCAGCTTTAGCACCTCATTTTACAGCAAACCTTTTGTCTACTGTGGCTGAAATGTATGCTTGTAGTGGTATGTAGATTTTTGTATCTATACTCCTCCAGACTTACCTGTTGCCATGCTGTAATTTTAATAACATTTCTCAATCTGTTCTTCAGAGCAAAAAGACGGATTTAGCCCCCCGCCAGCTGCTCTTCTAGAAGTGATAACTCAGTGGGTCTCTGACAATCCTCGATTATGCTTGACTGCATTGGTGGTGAATCTCCAACCCCTACTTCCACTGGGGAGCATACCCATGGCAGCATTAACACCATTTGCTGGACTATTTAGGTAAATTTTCAGACGAATGATTTTTAAAAAATGCAGTTAAAATTGTTTCAAGTCCTGCACAATTTTTCTTTCTGTAGATGGTGTGTTCTATCACCTCTTCTCACTACATCAAATTCAATTAAAGCCTCTGGTGATCTGTCCAATGGATCATCAAATGGAATATCTAATGGAAAAATGAACATTAAAAAAGAAAAAGGAGGAGGGGATATGAACTCCCACAAGAGAGATTTAGGTGTCGGAAAAGAGCCACCACTTTACTCTCAGTTGCATCTTGCTCTGTTAGAAAGTCTTGTTGAAAATGTTTACCCATCTGTCAATCGGCCAAACAATGTTAAGGTATTGTTCTTGTGAAGTTTTATTATTATCATGCCTTATCATTGTTTCTATATCATAAGTACATTTCAAAAAAATAATATTTTTTTCTAGGATGTTGTATCAGTGCAGCACATAGCTGGCATTGTTGAGCCTGTACACAATTGGTATAATAAGCAATTAAAATTATCAGAAAGCAGTCCTCCTCATCTCAGTGTTGATGAACATGAAGCTCTAGAATTAGCTCTTGATAGATTAGGACAAGCTGTGCAGATTGCTCTGGCAGCAAATTGTGTTTATGGCAACAAACGTAAGTTTCTTTTTTTCATTATTTTCTCATAAACTTGTGTTTTGTTTTGACGTAGTTTTGTTTGTCATTTGGAAGTCATTCTGACTTTTCTTTTGTGTTTTTATATTACAGAGTATCTTCTAACCCAACTAGACACCTTGAAACATCTCCCTGAGAGCCGCTTGCTGAGGATTGTATTACAGACTCATCAAGCACCATCACTATTTTAACATTTGTCATTCAAAAGTTTTACAAAGTTCTATCTTAAATGAAATGTTTTTTGAACTGCGATTGATCATCAAAGAAGATTGAAGTATCACTATCATAATACACCAGCCCTGGATGTAGCACTACTTTTTGCAAGTTTATGTTGATGAATTATTTGTTTGTTTTTTGTTATTTTAAACACAGATGTATCATACCGTGAAATGATTTTTAAGTCAATTTAAAAGTAACATACTGTACATGAATTGTTTCTATTTTTCAGTCACATGGGATTAAAAAAATGTTTTAATGTTCTGCCGTAGCATTCCATACGATCCCCAATAACAAGCAGAAAATGAAGAAAAGTCGATTTGGAAAGAGTAAATAAAGTAGACAAGAATAAATCTCGAGGCGGTCATGGCGGGACGTCGGTGTGGAGTGTTGCGGGGCCTCCGCTCCGACCTTGGGGCTGGATGGCTGGATCCAGACGGAATGCGGATGCATGCCGCAGCGTGCCCGTGCCGCTCCATGCCGCAGCCGCACCGCGCACGTCGCTACCCGGCGACTCGGACGCAGGCGTTGTTGGCCGGGGTGCCTACCTTCAGAGAATGGCAGGGGAGGCAAAATGTTAGGTTTCAGGCGATTTTTCATCTGAATTGGAAGTTCAGAGCGAGTGCTTTGGAGCTAGGCAATCCGCCTACCCACAAGCCCCACTCCTTTTTTTTTTTTTTTTTTTTGGGGGGGGGCCGTGATATGCAGATTTTGGAAACTTGCCGAGCAAGTCAGTCCACGAGTGCAAAGTGCAGGCGATGCCTAGCCGCTGGAGACTGCTGTGAAGGCGAGACCGAATTTCCCACTGATCATTGATGTTCGCGGCTCGGTGCCGCAGTCTTAGTGGTCCGCTCCAGCTCCCAGTTGCGTCTCTGAAGTATGGAAACTTGGTGGCGTGGACCCTGGTGGGCCCCCTGTGGTCACCCCGTGCGGTCTGGCCACCGTGTCCTTGGCGGGGATGCATTACCCCCGGTCGCTGCTCCTCGCCCTCATCAAGTCCCTGATGACGGTGCGGGAAATGTCGCCACCGGTCACTGGCCCGCCGCCCCGTCGCGCCCCGTCCGCCGCGCTGCTGGTGTAGGTGGCAATCTGCAGGAAATAAAAAGGACTAGGAAGGCCGGCCGCGCGCCAGGCTTGCTGGCTCGGCTGGCTCGGCTTCCGGAGAGGATAGGCCTCGTGATTGACTGATTGTTGCACGCCGCTGCCAGTGCCAGAGTGCCAGGCCGCCACGCCAGCTCCGCCTCGCCTCGCCGCCGCGCCGCGCGGTAAGGGACCTTACGGCCGTGGGACTGGGGGGACTGGACTGACCTTACCGCAGGTCTTTGCCCGCGCCATCGCCGTGCGGCCGTGCTGCAGGCTGAGGCTGGCGTCGGCGGAGGCGCCGCGGCCGCGTCGTGTCGTGTCGGCCTGATGCCTGATGACTCGGCCGTTCCCTTCCCAGCACGCCGTCGTTCGTGGCTCGTCGCTTCCAGCCTCGTACCAAGAACCCGGCACCCGGCGGCGAAAACACGAAACGCCGCGCGGAGCGCGGAGGTCGATCAGTCCCATAATTAATTGGGAAAGAGCGGGAAAAAAGGCGATGGGAGGACAAGAACGGAAACGTTGCGACGACGTTCCTCGGGTCGGCATGGCAGTCGGGCGGGGCGCCCGAGTGCATTGCTCTCCCGTGGCCGTGAAACGAGCGCTGTTGTTCGAGGCGGCTGCCTGTTGCCTGCTGCTGCCTGCCTACGGACGCGTAGCGCGTAGCGCGCCGCGTCAGGTGAGCCGCTCATTGGACTTCCCGTCTGGCGATGAATGGGCGGGAGGCGCGCGCCACTCCGGGCCAACAGGCCGATTCCGGGCAGCGCCTTCGTCACCCTGCCTCTCTCGCACTCTTGGAGTATCCCGCACGGGTGCGAGAGAGACGGAGCGCCGAAAGCACTGTTCGGAAGCAGCCAGCTGGACATGATGGTCCTGGGGAAGGACCCGCCGCGGGCAGCTCTCGCTTGCGGCCTTGCACCAAGCCGACGTCGCGGACCTCCGCCTCCGCATCAAGAAGCTCGCTGTGAACCTAGGCGGCGCCGCGGCGCTTGCTCGAGCGTCTTTTTCCTCTTCTTTTTCACACCGTAAAGGCGGCTTGGCTGCTAAGGCAAAAGGCTGCCCCAAGGGCGATGCTCGATGCCCGGCGATTGCCAAGGCCGCGAGGCGGGCACTGCGCACTCCGCACGCGGCGCCAAGGCGCACGCGGTCGTACAGTGGAACAGCAACAACACGCGTGCGTAGCGCTTAAGTGCGGCTAGCACCGAAACGGCGCCGCTTAGTGCCGCTTAGCTCGCCCACTTCGGCACAAGGCACAACCCTCCGGTCGGCCGCGGTCCGCGAGTTCGGCTTTCGCTCGGAGGAGGACTCGCGCATCGCCATCGCACTGCGCATCGTGGGAAATGGGGCGTCACCGTCGCAAAGCAAGTGGGCAGGCCGGGCCGGCCGCGCAGGCGGATGCGTGCGTCACAGCCTCGTGGCAGTCGTCACGGCCACCCCGATGTGACGTCCGGGCGGGCTGAGGGCAGCGGGCAGCCCGATGGTGACGAAGTCGCGGAAACCACTTGCCGTCCAGCTTCCAGCGCACCACACCGCCAAAACCAAAGGCGTGGGGATGCAGCGCGGCAGCGACGCCGAAAACTGGCCATTTGCAGCGAGTGCAACGCGGACTGGCGGCCCGCTGACCTCCGGAAGGGTCGTCCCGGCCATTCTTCGGAGCCTGGGCAGAGCTCGGGGCAGAGCTCGGACTTCCCTTGGCCTTCCAGTGCCGGCGCGAGTGCCGGAGTCCTGCCGCGTCCCGTCTGGGTCGCTAGGTCGCGCCGCCTGGAGGCCTGGAGCCTGGCGTGCTGGCGCTGTCGTGTGTCGAGTGGGTAGTAGGTGGGCTGGGCACCGCGGTTTTACGCCAGCACGCGGCACCGGGGCGGGGCGGGGCGTGCATTACGGCGGCGTGGGAACCGTCAGGTCGCACCGCCAACCTCGCGCCAACGCGCCTCGAAAAAAAAAATGTTTCAAAGGGGTGGAACGGAACCAGGAACCTTGATGGCGATTACGGGGGGCTTTTGCGTGTGCCGTCTCACGTCCGTCTGGCCGCGAGGAGCGTGGGGATCATCGGGTATACACGCGAGCGCTTTTACAGCCTTTACAGCCTTTTCGCGCGCTCCGCTAGGGGCGCCAGGGCCCCTGGCCCAGGGGTCACGGCTCGGTCACGGGCTGCATGGGGGCGACGGGGAGGCGGAGGACTTGGCTGGCTTGGCGCCGCGCCGCGTGCGGCCGCGCGCCAGTGATTGCAGAATAATTGCACCGCGCGTCACAGGGCGCACACACACACATGCACACACATGCGTGCTCATACCCTTCAAGGCAGACGGCAAATGCGTGCTGCATGCCAGGAGCAAGCCGAGCGGTTTGCCGCGTCAAAATAATCCGACTTTTGCAAAATACCTGCCAGCAGAGGCACTTTCCCCGCGTGCCGTGTTGCTGCGCCCGTGTGTGTGTGTGTGTGTGTGTGTGTGTGTGTGTGCGTGCATCACGCATACAGTCCGTGTGCAACACGGCGACGGCGTGAGCAGTGCAGCGCATAGTCACATGTGTGGTCGGCGTTCGCGTTGGTTCGCGTGCGCGCGGCGTGTGCCCTCCAGCCTCCAGGCAGGCTGCACGCTGCAGCGCGCGTCGTGCACGGACAACGTGATGCACTTATTGCTACACGTGTCCGTTTTTGCATGCCGCGCGCCGCACGCACCGCGCGTGTCGCGTGTCCGTCGCAGTGACGCCAGCGAGCGCGGCTCGCCACGGACGACGACGACGACGACGACGCGTGTGCAGATAGTAGAAGGCCTGGCCTTTGCAGGGTCTCCGCAGCCTTTGCCGGCGCCGCGCCACGGCCGTGGTCCGGGCCGAGGTCCGAGGTCCGAGTCCCAGGCGTGCCTGGAAGAGACTTGGAGGCGCGCGCTCGGGCTACCCATCCGTCTGCCAAGGCGAGAGGAAGGGCATAATAAAATTTATGATTTATTCACAGAGTGCTGCTGGACTGGGGAGGGGGTCGGGTAAGCCTACGATGAGCTGTTGCTGACCGTTGTTGTTCTTGTTGCTGCTGCCGACTTTGTTGTTGTTGTTGATAACGATGATGTTGCGATTATCAGCCCCCCGCCGTGAAGCCGTAATGAGGCATTGCTCATGCGTCTCGCCTCACGGTGCGCGGTGCGCGGTAGCGGCAGCAGTTAGCAGTGGCGTTGCAGGAAGCGCCGTGCGGCCGGGCTGTCCCGCGTGACACGGCCGCTCGGCGGGGTGCCTACCCTCAGTCCGGCAGGCGCTCCGGCGACGCTTGGCGAGGCGAGGGCTGTCCTGTCGGCTGGCCGCGGCTGGCCGACTTCCGGCGGAAATGCTCGCAACAAAGTGTGGCCAAGCCAAAACGCCAAAACGCGGCCCCGGCAGGCGGCAGGCCGCGGCAGGCAAAGGCAGGGCCCCCCAGCAGGGCAGACGCTTTGTCGTCACACCGGCGGGGCTTGTCGCTTGTCTCATCTTCCCGTGCCGCCGCTGCCGTTGCTGCCGCGCGCGAGCCGCGTGTCTTTTTTATGTTTCACGACTGTCGCTCAGCTGTCGCGCTGTCGCTCGGGAGCGTTTTGCCGGTGCCGGCTTCCTGCGCGGCTTCGCCTGCTTCGCCGCCAGCCTCCGGTCATGGACCGTCGCGCGTTCTTGCGTCACGCGACCGCCGGGGCACGCTGCACCACACTGCAGCGAGGAACGACGAGGTGCGCGTCAGTGGACAGCCCCGAATCCGTGCGGTCGTCCGTCTGTCCGGCCGACAGCTTCCCGCGGGAGACACTCGAGTCACGATGAGCAGTGCGGCGGGCGGTGGCGGGCGGCGGGGCCCTCTAGGCGCGGCGTGGCGTGGCGGCGCGTGACGACCTTGCGCCCACGGGCAGGCCAGGAAGGCCCGGCCGGCACTTGTCGGGCCGGGCAGACAGGGCGCCGCGGCGGGGCGGCGGCCATCCGAGCACGGCGTCGACCACCTCGGTGACAACGGCGTCGCGTGCGCGCCGATTAGTACCGCGCTGCACCGCATGGCGGCGGCCATTGTGACGACCATTGTGAGGACCACGACGACCACGACGACGACGACGTCCGCGAGGAGCACGGGGCTCGGCGACGGACGTGGCGCGTCCTTGGCGACGGCGCGCCGTAACGAGGGCCAACGAGGGCGCAGCGTGCGGACCGCGCAGTGGGGGCGTCGCGGGGCGTCGTGTCCA